GGAGGAAGGAAGGAAGGAAGATTTCCAACGCTCCCTGCCGGCTTCCCACAAGCAAAGTCAACGGGGAAGCCGGCAGGAAGTCGGAAGTCGCTCACATTCCCCCTGCTTTTGTGCCGGGGATCAATCTGTTCCTCTTCTTCGGTAAGGAAATAATTCTGAAAGGATGAGCCAACCGGTCGCGGGTGGTCTAGTTTATTACATTGATTTAAAGAGTGCCTGACTCCAACCTAGTCTGGGTGTTTTAACAATAAAACGTCAGAACAATAACATAGAAACAAACATATTTTTCATATGAAACGACATAAAAATCTTACAAGGGCTCACCCGCCACCCTGCCTGGGAGAATACCCAGGTTTTCAAGGACTTTCGAACATCATCAGGGTGGGAGCCATGTGGGTCTCTGGGGAGATGCTGTTGCAGAGACAGGTGCTACCACACTGAAGGCACGCTTCCTGGGTCCCAACAACAGGCACCGTTTAATGAGGGGACCTGAAGGGCACCCCTCTGCCAGATCTCAGCAGATGGGCAGAAATGACAGGAGATAGGTGGTCCCTCAGCTCTCCAGGCCCCCTTCTACTGCCACTTCTGACCAGCTCACCTTCCAGCTGCCTGCGTTCATGGTCCAACTCAACCGTTTCTTTGTTCAGCTTCGCAGCCTTGGCAGACAACAAGTAGAGGTACGCCATGTCCCCGTTTCTCTGGATGCCGTGATAGTGGAGAGTCTCGTGGTCCTGCGGCAGCCTCTGTCCGACCACCCACTTCTGGATGCTGGGAGGAAAACCATAATGGAGAAACATCTGTCCAGGAAAGAAAGGGAGCTGTAGGAAACCCAGAGAAGATGTGCCTCCGCCTTCCCCATTCCTGCTGCGGTGAAACCCAGAACCTTTTGCCTCCATGACCTCTCCTGCAGACACACATGATCCAGAATTTTGTAGCTTTTTTACACGTCCACCAAACGTGATAAAATGTCCCTTGTTGTTCACATTTCCAACATAAATTTGAAATGCCTTTGTACATTTTAGACAATTTCTCTGGTGACATATACCAATGGTACATTGTTTTATAAAAATTCTCCTTAAGTTTAAAACACAATGTAAATTTCAATCCTTTCAACTACATATTTTCCCATTGTTCCATCTGTATATTATAGCCAAAAATTTTAGCCCACTTTATCATACATTCTTTCACTCTTTCTT